GAATAATGCATCGATTGTTTCTAAGTTTTTGTCTTATGTGAAAAGAAACTCACACATACTTTTCCACTGCAGAACTGTCAGGTTAAACTAGTATATATCTGTATGAATTTTGAACAGTTCATACAATAAAATGAAAAAAATGTTGTTAGAATTTTCAATACAAGTAATAATTAATAAGTGAAACAATTTTGAAGGTTTTAAATATCAGTTTTTGAAAGCAAGCAATGTATATTGCCTCCTCGCTCCCGTTCTTGGAAATTGCAGTGATTCGAGCTGTTCTACTCAACAGCAAAATTTATAGTTGCTCATAAATTTAATAAAGTCAGAAAGTATTCGATAATCATCAACTTGCTAAGTTCCATCTACGGATTGGATGAGATCTGACTTCTAGACAATCTTTTCTGATCTGAATATTTTCCCAGACTTAAAATAAAAAGTAAAATGGACTCAGAGTTCTATAATCAAGAGTACTCAACTCATAAAAAAATCTTCTGTGCGTAGGAAAACTTCAAATTAAAGATTGTCATCAGACTAACCATCTGGAAATGGCAAAATGTTCCAATTAATGTTGTTTGTCGGCAGCGAAGTCGAAGTCATCTAGAATATTGAGTCGAAAGGTGAGTATCATGTTAAAATGAGATGGTTATTGTGCAGGTTCTGCAAAGAAAAAAATCATTAAATAGTATAGTCCATCTCAGGAATATAAAAAGTAGAGGTTTTGTCTACAGCTATGACATTAGCCGCCTTTGTCAGTCATATTGAAGTAAACCGTATGGACCAGATTTTGAGTTTGGATGTCAATTGAAATGTAACTCTCATTTCTAAATATTATTCGTAGCTAGATCAAAACGTTAGAGAGCATATATACATTCGCGCTCACGCTCCACATCGAACTTCCTACTATAATTGACGCATTTCGCCATATTGTAAATTAAAATGAATGTCTTCCAAGGAACGACTTGCTTTGTCTTACGAGTCTTTCCTCTTTGAATCAAAGGCACAAAAATAAATAGCAAAAACTTGTTCGAATCTTCTTGATATTCGTGTACTTACTTGTTGAAAAAAAATGAACCTTTAAATATTTATGTTATAAACTATCCACGGTAGTCATTTCTTCATTTTATATGACTCATATAACCCATTTTACAAAGTAGGAAGAGAAAAAGTGTCGGCTTTGTCTTCTGAGTCAGAAAACAGAACTGAAAGAGTTTACTGTTAGCTACGAAATTTTTAAAAATCTTTAGAAACTTGGGTGTGGGTGTCGTTGTGGATATCTCTTTTGTTTATAATGACAGGCAAATCCATACTCACACCCACACCCACACCAGATATTACATCAAATATTAAGCAAAAAAATGGAATATATCAAAAGATAACACAATACATTTGGAAAATATATACGTTAGGATATCAAAGCAAGAAAAACCGGTATAAGAAGACCCCAACAGAAAACAATAGAGAAAATACTTGACAAAAAGAAAGAGAACAAACATATATGAATACTACCTTTAGCATGATTTCTATTTGATAGCAGTGGACATTATCGATATAGATGATTATATTTTTCGCAAACATTATATTCTCTGTGATGACATTGAGCTCAATGTGTGATTGACTATAATCATTTTATTGTAATAGAATTACATCAAATCTGTGCAATCGATTTGGATGCATTTCAGGATGTAAGTTCCTTTACTGAAATGTCATGAAATAAGATGATCACGCTAGTTCTTGACGCCCAGAATTTCAGATGGATTAGCTTGATACTGGTTTTATGAAAAATTTGATTTTGATAGTATCAAGATTTGCTAATTTTCGTAAGTTATCGCATATTCACTTGATTTCAATTGTTTTACTTTCATGAGTAAATCCACTACAGTGTCATGATAGAACGAATCAAAGCTTGCCTTCTTAACAAAAATTTCAACGTGTTAATAGGTCTCGTTACACATACTCGATCCGGAAAATTTTTGTTGTTGTATCGAAGATAAAGTTTAGTCTTTGACTATTAATGACAACGTAGGGACACATTTTCATCTTGAAATGTTCTGCAAATGTTCACAATCAAGATATTCTGATCAAGGTATTACTGATTATTTTGGATATTAATTTCGGTTAATTTTGAGTGTACCGTCAGACAAAATGGTTATCAGATCAGTTCACGTTATCAATGTTATAGTGAGGCATGAAGTATACGATGCTAACAAGACCAATTAAAATGCTTCAGTTCGATCTTCTTTTGCTCATATTTTCTTTTGTCTTATTAGTACCAAATTAACTAGACAGCAGTATGGGAGAGAGACTAGTCGTCATTTGCTAGAAATCATCCACAAGATCAAAAGTGTGGGTAATACAGAAAAGAGAAGGAACACTCAATTTCAACATATTAATATATAATATAAATATGTTGGCACAATATACTGAAAATTATTATAGAATAGGAAACAGTACAATAATGAAAGATGAATAATAAAACATAACAGACAACTTGTTGTACAAAAAAACGCAATACATAAGTGAAAGTAATTGAGATAGCTCAATTATTAGGCGTTTTTAAACAGAGAATGGATATTAGTAAAATTTTTTAGTTTTAAACTTACATTTCTTTATTAGTTTGATGAAACTTTGTACACACAAAAATATGAATGTTTTTGCAGAAAATTGTGACAAACAAAACTTTTTAGAAATGATATAATACTTAGAAGTGTAATAAAATATTTTTATGTAAAGTCTTCATCAATTATTTTGATTGTAACAGAATACATAAAAATCTATAGGCAAAGTTGGAATTATACGGAGGTGCTGAGTCTGACCGGAAGCCCCAATTCTTTTTCTATCGTCTTGCTTCCATAATATGATTTTTTTTTACCATTTATAGTGTTCACCTAATTCTAATGAACAGGCAAGTCTAAGGAGTCTCTATCTTATGTAAAATGAAAAAAATCAAAGTCTTGAAAAAATATTTTTCTACTTACAAACAGATTTTTTTGAAGGTTTTGATTTCACATGAGATAGCGTTCATTAGCATTATGCAAACACTGTAAGTGGTAAAAAAAACATTTTTTTCTGATATATTATGGAAGCGAGGTGATAGAAAAAGAACTGGAGCTTTCAGTCAAACTAAGCACCCCCAATCTTTGATGATTGAGGATGTATAGACTTTTCTGGCTAGTATTTCCGAGATCATGTCATCATTCAAAGAAAATAACAAGAGAAAAGTCACTCCTGCAAGTTATTACTGTTGTACTGATCTACTGTCAAATTGTATAAAAACAGGAAGGTGAATGTGTATATATTCTAGTACATTTCATTCGATCAACAAAATTTGAAGAAGGCAACACATTGATTGCTGAAAATACATAAGGAGAATGGGAATATGCTACTAATAATGAGATTTATTTAAACAATAATGAGAGCATTGTATAGATGGAAAAGATTTTGATACTGTTCACATATAAATTTTAACCAAAACTTAAAGGTGATTAATTTGAAATGCCTATTAAAGATTTTCTGCAAGTAATTTTACTGTTTTGTCATTATTTAAACTATCAAGAAGGACCTTAGCAATTTTTCTTGAGCTACAATGATAAACAGCATCAGAATATTTTAGTGGTCTTGTCACTAAAACATGTGCGACAGTTGTAGATTCATTACCCCTACGTTGATGTTTATATATCTGTCCATCTATTTGCACTTGAAAATTAATATAGTCACTATTTCCAGTAAAATTCTGATCATCTAAGCGTACATTATCTGTTTGCTTTATTGTACCCGCCTTAAATGGCTGAGACATAATTACCACTAGTTTATCATTTTCATTCCTTAATTTTTTCATAGCTTCAGGTATTAATTTATATTCTATTTCTTTTTCTAGATCTTTATTGCTTATAACATCTGAAAGTTGTTTTTTTTCTTTAATATTTACCAATGGTACCGATCCATTCTGTGATCCATCCTGTATTACAGTTATAGGATTGAAGATGTAAAGGTTTTTCTTTGGTTTACTTTTCTACCTAATGATTCATGATAAGCTATTAGCAAACAATCTTTCCGTTCATTGATCTGTATATATGTTTCTGTTCCTCTACCAGTAAAATAATGTCTAATATCTTCATTTTCACCTGCTTCATAATAGATTTTGGCAGATTGTTTAAAAAGAGCAAGTATTTTTCTTACTTCTGAAGGATTTATTATTTCTTTTTCGTCAGTATCTGAATTGTAAACAGTTATTTTTCTTCTTTTACGATCTGCTAACATTTTGATATCAGTTAGACCTAAAGCTCTATCTTTATCGTTTGCTTATCTCAAATAACTTGCAGTAATTTGTTTTGGATTTCTAATATTATTTTGTAGATCTTCTCTTTTCGCTTGATCTTGTTATTCTTTCTTTGAATCTTGATTTATTAGCAATTTGACTTTCTGCATGATTTTGTCTATTTTGATTCGATTGTTTCAATATATCAGCTGGATTTTTCCATTACATTGTGACTACTTTATCTAATTATTTTGTTAATTTAGTTGATATATATATTCTCTAATGATTCTATTCAACTGTTCTGCTCTTGTTTCGACAAGGTTCTTATTAATGTTTTTTCTATAAATATTCTGATTTTCTTTGGTAGTACCTTCAATAATATCTTTTAAAGTATTAAAGACATATTCGAACTGTAAGACAGATTGAACTATAGTCCACAACTTATTAATGATATCTATTGCTTTAAGAGTAGTAGCAGCTATTTTAACGTATTTTGAATTTGATTTCTTTAGACCATCAGCAAATAGATGATAACTATTTCTTAAAGAAGATACAACTCGTGTTCGAATATTATCAAATTGTTGAGGTAATAAAATATATTTTCCTAATGTTTTTTCTAATATGTTTTTTCAATTCTTCAAAAGATTTTTCGAACTCTTCTTCATTTTTACTTTGAAGATAAACAGTTTCTACTTTATTATTTATTAAACCGATTATTTCTTTTAATAAACTTTCTTCTATTTCATTAACAATCTTTTGTATAAACATTTTCTTGAATCTGTTCCATAATTTTATCCGTCAAAAACTTTCCAATTCCAACAGTCAACATAGAGAGACCGAAGCTAATTGCTTTTTGTATTGCCCATTCTTTCCAACTAAAAATACCTGATATTAAAGCATTGCCTATCTGAGTCAAACCGAAGGCTACTAAAACAGCTTCGGCAATGACTTGAACAAGTCCTATCATTACAACGGCAAAAGCATTCCAATCCCACCAAGATTTATCTTCTTCAATAATCAAAAATTTATTAAGATTAAAACCTTCAAAAAATCTTAATTCACTTGGAACATTTTCTTGATCTTGAAGATCTATAAAATCTTTTAAATTAGCTTTTAAACCTGTTTTAAATGAACGAATATCTCATTGTAAAGACAAAATTTTCGACAAAATTAATTCTTTATCATTTTCAAATTGAATATTTTTTAAAATTCTTTCAATATTTCTTTTAATATCTACATATTTATATTTAGCAAGTTCACCAGACTTTAAAATATTTTTTTCTTTTAGATAAATTCGAATATTATTTCCTTCTTCTTCTTTAATAGTAAATGGTAAATCTGTTTGATAAAAATATTGATTTTGTTGACTAATATTATCTTTTAATTCTATTAAAAATATTTTAAGATCTTTTGTTTCATGACCATTCCCATTAAATTTAATTTTCGCATATTTTCCTTTCTATTGATTGTTCAAATAGAGAAATATTAACTTGTTGTGGATCTATTTTATCTTCTAAATCTTTCCAAACATTTTCATATATCCGTGGTAATTCTTTTTCTATTCTATTTATATTTAAAATTTGCCATAATTCTTCACTATAACAAACAATATCTTCGAAATCTTTTTTGTTCAAAGTAAGATTTACTATTTAATAAACTAATTAATGGATCGGCAATCGAAGGATCAAGATCATTTCGAATAATCTTTTCTATTTTATCTCGTTCTTGTGAATTATTTCGAAATATTTTTCTTATTGTATCTCCTTGAAGAATTTCAAATTGAACTAAAAGTGAATATAATTCTTTTCCTTTATCTTGATCTTCACGAGTTAAATATTGTTCATCTTTTGGATGTAAAATAAAATGAAATGGTTCTACTGTATCTCCAACAGCTTCTAATTTTCCTGTTATTTGATCTTGATAAAAATTTTCTTTTGAAGAAATTTTTTTGAAGAGTGTGGGTGTGTGAATGTGGGTAGGGGTCTTCTCTTTATCTACACCCACACCCAAATTTGAACTTAGCTCTACACTATTAGAGAACCTAAAGAGAAGTCTCTGATCAAAATGCACTTTTTCCTGGAAACGAACTTTCTTCAAAATAAAAGGCAAAGCAACCAGACTATTTAATTTAAATTGATTACAATAGCTGATTTTCCACATTAATTGTTTGAATAAGAAAACAATTATTAATGCCTTCATTCAATTTACTAATTTAATCAAATAAATAACAGACACAACAGATATACAAAGAGGTTAATACAAAAAAAAATCATATTGGATTTCTTCATATGAAAATACTGGCAAAGAGTTCGTCTGTCTTGATATAAAAATTCAAAAATTATTTTCCTCTTATGCAATCATGATCATATGATG